CAAATGCTTTTGAGAAAGAATACCCTACATCCCCCTCATACCCTACAGCCTAGATGGTCATTTTCTGACTAAACTCCCTGGCGATGGCGAGCCGTAAGATGATAGAAAGTGGCAGTATATATATATATATATATATATATATATATATATATATATATATATATATATATGTAGCAATGTCCCTCTTAAAATATTACCAAAGCCTACTTATCTATCTATATGTATTCCCCAGGTTTATCTGTGATCCAAATTTCAAATTATTCTCTCTAAATCTCGATAAAATGTCAAATATCAAAATTCCTTTAAATGCGTTCAGTATATTAAATCCAAAATTGTACTAATTTTTATTAAATTTGGAAGATGAGTCCCATTGCTAGCAATATACCTTATCAGGTCGACCTTGACGTGGTCCCCCTGGAAATCATTATGCTGAATTTCAGGTATATTTAAAACGATAGGCTAACTGACCTGCCTTTTCATTCTCACCTATCATCCCTCACTGATGCTCCGTTACCATTCCATTATCATCCATTAAAACTTTCACATTTATAACTTTAACAGGATAGGATAATAGGATGGGACAAAGAGGATTATATTCATGTTTGCAAGGTCGATGTCCACGGCACCATCCGTAATCGGCCTAATTTGCTTGATAAACTTTACGAATCGAAATCTGGTATTGATGGTTGTGTTCCCAAAGATTATTGTATTATTTCTAACAAAGAATGTCCTAATTTTAGAATCAAATAAATTCGTATTTCTACTGTGAAGCAGCTGTGTTTACATGGCTGTGTTTCGGTTCGAAGGGTGTATATGGCGTGAATTTACTTGGTACAGAGGAACAACACCCGAGTCCTCAGGAATGGCAACGCATGGGAGGTATCATGGGCGAAACAGGATACTCTGTTATGTCCATGGTACCGCTCATGTCTATAGGCGACTGTTACCACTTTCCATCAAGTGGACTTTTAGCTTGATTGCCATTCTAAGTTGTATAAAAAAAAAATATTATGGGACCTTTAACTAAAAGAAATAAATAAGCATTAATAATTTCTAATCAAGAATATGTAATAAACTAAGTTTTTCACGAATCAGTCATAATAAAGTATCTTTTTTTTAAATTAATTAAACTACTCATGTATCTAATTTCATTGAAATCTATTTAACCGTTTAAATATGATTGAGTAACAAACATTGAAATATCTTTCACATTTTTATATTAGTAGGACTTTTATTGTTTCTAATTTGTGGCATTTATTGAAAATTGTAGATAAGTGCTATGTTCCTCTGTAAATAATAATATATTACCTATATTGTTCACAAAGGCGACGTGCTAAAGAAGGGTCAAATTAAAAGTACCCGTAACCGGCGAGCGTGTATGAAAAGATTGATGAATGTGGAAGAAGCGAAAGAGGTTTGTTTGAATCGAAGCATTTGGCGTTCCATTGTTTCTGCCTACCCTGAGACAGCACGCCTGTGCAGATATGTATGTATATATGTATTGTTCACAAAAATTAGTAGTCTTCTGTTTCTTTCTTTAGTTTTCTAAAATTCACTTTGCATGGAAAGAGACAAAAGACAACGTAAATCATATTATTTCTTATTCTAAGTTTTTATTGTCTATGGCAGCATTTAAAAAAGAAAAATATTGTTTTTAATATATAATTGCAAATGGCGGCAATGTACCTAGTTACCGCTCCTCCACTGTAATATTATAAAAAAGGAAATTGTCTTTATTTATTTTATTAATCACATACAATATTATTCCTGTGAAATAATTAAATAAATAATTTAAGGAATAGACTCATCTAATTTAAGTACAAGCTTTAGCTTTTACAATTACAGAGTTAGCGCACAAAGCGATTTTGACTGTTACCAGACGTGTCTGTCTCGAACTAACCAATTTACTATAACTAAGTCTGATTAATTCTGATATTGAATTATTATTGACATCTCTAACAATTGTTTTATAATAAATAATTAATAAATATACATAATAGAACTAAAAATCTACATTACTTTAAAAATGTGTTCCACGAAAAAGGGCTATTTCATTGTTTTTATGCAACATAGAATGGCAAACTAGCTAATGACCCACCTGATAGAAAGTGGTAACCGTCGCATAAAGACATGAGCTGTACCATGGAAATAACATTTTCGCCCATAATACCCTGCTTTACGGTAGAAACACGAATGGGACAGAGATGACCAAGTAAACGACTTTTGTACAAAGTGGCCCTCTAATAGAATTGTGGTAAAATACATACACATACAGTTATACTCGTATTAATTTAAAAATTAAACTATGCAAGTGGTTTTATTGAAACTTCTATGGAACAAGTCTGTATATCCTTTGAAAAAGAATCTTTCAAATCAGTTTATAACTGACGGAGTTGGAGGAAAAGGGATTGTTAGTAATGGAGACTGAGAATCCCATTGCTAGTAATATACCCAACCAGGTCGACCTCCTCGCGGTTCCCCCTGGAAACTATCATGGTTACTTCCTGATGAATTCATCATGATGGGCTAACTGACCTGTTTTCATTCTCATCTATCACCCTTCACTGGTGCTCCGCCAGCGTATCCCGTTAGCGCAGGCGGGGTTACCATATCATTTTAACCCATAAAAAAAAATATAAACACCAATCTGTGCTTACATTTAAATATTATGATTTATGAATGTACATATATATGTATATATATAGTGATTCACAGCTTTTACACCTGGGGCATATTGTGAACCAGCATTACGATTTAGCTGTGCTGAGCTAGTCTTTGTTTTTTTTTTTAACAAATCACACAGATTGAGCTAGCCCCTAAGTAAGTTCGAGACTTGTGTTATGGGATACTAACTCAACGATACTATATTTATAATAGATACATATATAGATAAACATCCAAGACCCAGGCCAATCAGGAAAAGATCATTTTTTGTCCACGTCGCAGGCAGGCGTGTTGACCGCTGCGCCACGGAGGACGACAAATCCCTTCCCTTACTAGTTCCTATCAAGAGACTCGTCTGCCTGTGTTTACCAATATAAAAAAGAGAATAGTAGCAAGAATTGACATCAATTGCCTAAGAATAAGAATGGAAAATGTTAAATTAAATACGATGTCGCTTCCCCTTGAGAGTCTGAAGTGAAGTGCGCCAGGCGCCTACTTTTATTTTATAAGCAAACATTTAAAAATCTACAGAAATGTTAAGTTTTTTTTATGCGACTTAGAATGGCAAACAAGCTGACGGCCCACCTGATGGAAAGTGGTAACCGTCGCCTATAGACATGAGCAGTACCATGGACATAACAGAGTATACTGTTTCGCCTATGATACCCCCCACGCGTTGCCATTCATGACGACTCAGATGTTATTCCTCTGTACCTTGTAAATTCACTGCCATATCCCACCCTTCAAATCGAAACACAGCTATGCAAACACAACTGCTTCACGGTTAAAACACGAATGAGACAGAGGTACCCAAGCAATCGACTTTTGTACAAAGTCTCCCTCTGGTATGATGATGAAGGATAAATAAATTATAAGGTCGCCCATTGTTTTCTCATTGTGATTATTTCTTGTAATTATTTATATTTATAAAAAGTTTACTATTGTAATCTTTTGGAGGAAACAATAAAGAGTATGTATCTATCTATCAATAATGGTAAATAAATAAATACATAATAGAATTGATCATATTAAAATTACCACATTTATAACACGAGACTATTATTTCTCTTAAAATGAACATTCTTTATAAGCATGGCTTTTACATAATTTAAAGGCAGATATGTATACCTATTTGATTTCCATACTCTAACGAAAGCTATTATCATATACGTGCGCCCACATATCTATTACAATGAAATAAACAATTTCCTAAAAAAATATTCGCCTAGTTTCCTTCTGAAGGAACCCCGTCCCGGCCTTTACCGGACTTGGGATCCAGAAATTAATTTTCTATGAATAGGAAACCACTGATATTGCTTTATCGTTCACTGATTCCCAATTGATAATGGCTTCTTCTTTATTACATTAGGATATTAAAATATTTCTAATGATCCTCGACATACGATGTGAATTTTTTACTTGAATAAATGCCTATTTTATAATAATAGTCAAGAAATACGCGTTAAAGATAATTATTTTAATTGAAATACTGCTACTAACTGTGTAAGAGTGTCTCCCTCTAGTGTTAATGGATGATAATGGAATGGTAACCCCACCTGTGCTATCGGTATACACTGATTGGATAGGATAGTGAAGGATGATAGGTGAAACAAGTTTTTTTTAATGGATGATAATGGAATAGTAACCCCACCCGCGCTATCGGTATACACCGGCGGGGCACCAGTGAAGAATGATAGGTGAGGATGAAGTAAGTCAGTTAGCCCATCGTGACGAATTCAACAAGAATTGTTCACGATGGTTTCTAGGGGAAACCACGTGGAGGTCGACCTAATAAGGTATATTGCTAGCAATGAGGCTGTCAAACTCCATTGCTAACAATCCTTTTTACCCCAGGTGAAATAGGTAAGTTAGCCCACTAGGATACATTTTTTTTTATGCAACTTAGAATAGCAATCAAGGTAACGGCCTACTTGATGGAAAGTGGTAACCGTCGCCTATAGACATGAGCAGTACCATTAACATAACAGAGTATACTGTTTCACCCATGATACCCCCATGCGTTGCCATTCTTGAGGACGTAAGTCTTAGGTAAATTCAACAATAATTAATCATAATGGTTTCCAAGACCGTTTAGTGGTTGTCCTAGTAAAGTATATTGTTTTTTAAAAATACAAGAAAAGAACGAGCATCCGTCTCACTTTAGGCACAGTAGTTGCCACGCTTGGCAGATGGTACCTATGATCTTATAATTTTAAAGTACGCTGTTACCAATTCATTCATTAGAACGTACCAATTTCATTAATTGAAGCTGTCAGCGGACAATAAAGCGTTGTCATCGTTATTAAAACAAGTTCTTAGTTATTTTTGTTATATTATCAAACAAGCATTTGCTGCGATAATATAATAGTGATATATAATACAAAATTACATAACTATTCTGTGGACGCAGCTAAAGAGACACGTATTTTTATTCATAATAGCGAATTTATTATTCAAAGCTCTATAAATCCATATAATATGGTTAAGGTGGAAGTGCAGCAAGGCTGGTTGGAAGGAGAACAACTGGAAACGAGCACTGGTGATGGGAAGTACTACAGTTTTAAAGGAATACCGTACGCAGCGCCGCCCGTCGGTAAATTGAGGTTTAAGGTTAAAAACTTTTTTATAAAATTCAATCAGTCCATTATTTTATTTACAAATGAATGAATGAGTATACTTTTATGCATATGAGTATAGTCGAATTTCACTACATAGTATAAAACAAAGTCGCTTCTCATCTGTCTGTCCCTATGTATGCTTATATCTTTAAAACTACGCAACGGATTTTGATGCGAATTTTTAATAGAGTGATTCAAGAGGAAGGTTTATGTGTATAATATATTCATAATATAATATAGAAACACTAATAATTTTAGAGGTTTCTAATGTGATGCGATGTAATGTGCACACATGCGAAGTCGGGGCGGGTCGCTAGTATAATATAAATTGTATTAACCATTACATAACAATACCATACAAAAAAAAGAATATCAATGTTTCATTTGACTTAATTCATCCATTACATTTTCTTTCAAAATCTATAATCCATTACTAACAATCAATTGGCATGTTTCGCATAACCATTAAACTTCGATGCAAATGCATTAACATGGTATTCTTGGCATAATTATATGGAATCTTGATACCATGCAATAATATCGTACCTTAGTAATAGAATTTTATAATAAAACTTTGGAACCACATAGGATTCATTTGTTTCGAAGAATATTATTAAAAGAGATTAAGCTAAGCCTAATCTAAACCATATATTATATACACAATGAACTAGTTTTTAAACTACTTTCTTAAACACAATGATTAAATTTTTACTTTAAATGAATTTTATGTTCGCAAACCATACTCATAACTTGTTTCAGGCGCCACAACCACCTCTGCCATGGGATGGTGTCAGGAAAGCTACAAAACATGGACCCATTTGTACTCAATACAACATTCTTACAAATGAATATCTCCCCGGCAGTGAAGACTGCCTCTATCTCAATATTTATACTCCTGAGATTAAGCCTCCAAAACCATTACCGGTCATGTTCTTCATCCATGGTGGCGCCTTCAAAAGTGGATCAGGAAATGACGATTACTACGGCCCTGATTTTCTTGTAAGCCATAACGTTGTTTTAGTTACTATTAACTACAGGCTCGAAGTCTTGGGATTCTTATGCCTCGACACACCAGAGGTCCCTGGAAACGCTGGCTTGAAAGACCAAGCCTTAGCTCTGAAATGGGTCAATCAAAACATAAGACAATTTGGAGGCGATCCAAATAATATCACGATCTTTGGAGAAAGCGTTGGTGGGGCTTCCACTATCTTTCATGTTCTATCGCCTTTATCAAAAGGACTGTTCCAAAGAGCTATATCAATGAGCGGTGTGCCATCTTGCGACTGGGCGTTATCATTTGAACCTAGAAAGAAAGCGTTTATTCTTGGAAAACAATTAGGCTTCGACACCAATGACGCCGATAAACTATTGGAGTTCCTTCAAAGCGTTCCAGTTGAGAAACTCGTCGACACAAACCCTTCTGTATTGGCTTTCGAGAATGTCACATTGAACATATTAAAGACGTATCATTTCACGTTTGTAGTTGAAAAAGATTTTGGCCAAGAACATTTCCTTACAGAAACTCCGGCGAATGTTGTCAAAACAGGAAAAACGAACAATGTTGACATTCTTATAGGTTACACAAGTCAAGAGAGTTTGATCGCGCTCAAACTTTACGAAAGTTCTTTACTCAAAGAATACGATAGGTGGGACGAGTTATTTGTTCCGAGAGAAATTTTACTGGAAGGCACGCCTAAGAAAATTTTGGAAATCTCAAAACGTATACACGAACATTACTTTGGGAGGAAATTAATTAATTTGGAAACTATGAAGGAGTTTATTGATTACTCCTCGGAGTGTAATTTCACATATGATATTTGCAGATTTATCAAAAATTACTCGAGATATATCAAGACGTCTAAACTATATGTATACAAATTTTCTTGTACATCGGAACGAAATCTTTATGGTAATGAAGGTGCCAAATATGGCATATCAGGAGCGGCACATTTAGATGATCTTATGTATTTATTCGACGCGAAATCTCTGAATCTAAAGAGTGATAAAAATAGTAAAGCCTATAAAATGATAAAGCAAACTTGCACGCTGTTTACCAACTTCGCAAAATACGGGTAAGTATTATTGTAAATATACTTTGAAGCCCTCGATGGTTCAGTCATAGCTTTGTTGAGGATTTTTTTAACACATTTTATCTTTTATTTTACTATCCTTAACTCCAAAAATATGTCTCGCTAATAAGGTGATATAACCTTTTATAACGACGATAACCAAATAGCATAGTATAGTGTTTGTTTCTACTTTTTCTTCTTTTGCTCGTCAGTATAGTATGCTGAATTCCTTTAGTTGACACTAAGGACACCTGAGGATGATAAGAAAGTTATATTTCTCTCTATTATTATTATTTATTTCTCTATTAGTTATTTATTTATTAACTCTATCACATAGAATTGCTCGTAAAATACTTAATATTATAATCGTCATCATTATTATAATTATAACCTATCCATTTTGTCCACTTTTGAGCATAGATCTCCTTTATATTATACCACAAAGTGCGGTACTGATGAACACTGTAATCATTAGGTAAAAACAGTAAGCATTTGAGAGCAGGAGACAGTGTGGTACGTCACACCAAAAAATATATGAATTCATTATCGTCATATATATATATATATATATATATATATATATATATATATATATATATATATATATATATCACGTGTTACAATGTTTGTCAACATCAAAAATAAATTCCCGAAAAGAAATAATTTAAGATTGTGCTCTATAAAAAAATCGACTTCAATTGTGTCTAACTCAGTTATTTTGATTTAAAAACTAAACTACTAAACCGATTTTGATGATTTTTTATGAGACTAATCTGTAAGTCTTTAAGATAAAAAAAGAATATTCCAAATCGGTTTACAACTGACAACGTTATGGGGCAACAAACATGAAAAAGAAACATACAACCGAATTCAGTACCTCTTTCTCTTTGAAGTTAGTTAAAAATGGCCCCAGTAGGTGGCGGTAAGAGCAAAATAACGTTTTTCTAGATCAGCTAGAGTACTGTGCAATTATATGTTTACATTAAGATAACAATTATCAGTTTAACAATTTGCCAGTCATGGCAACAGGTGATTAGTAACGATAAACTCTTGTGATTACAGTTCCTTGTTTGTCGTCGTTCGATCAGTAAAATTATTCTGATATTGTTGCTCGTAATTGTAAATTTGTAATTAGGTATTTTAAATTTTCGTCCTATTTAATTAATTAATTAATATTATATAATAAATATAATAATATACACACATTAAATACACTATCGTGACTTAGCGCGACGAAAAATTATTGTTATGTACATATCTCCTTCTTCATTGCCGACGTTTCGACGTAGATTCTACCAACGTTTACGTGTTTTTCGTTGCGTTAAGTTCCGATAGTGTATTTAAATATATTTATAATTTGTTATAACCTACTAATACGTACGGTGTACTAATGAAGTACTGCCTTCTGTCTCTCTCTCACTCGCTCAGTTTTTATATGTAGATTCTGAAACAACGCGGTTTCAGAGATGTTTTCTCCCACGAACACTAAGATTATGGAATGAGCTCCCTGCCGAGGTTTTCCCAAAAGACTACAGCATGGGGTTCTTCAAAAGGGGGGTAAAGAGGTTTCTTCAGGGTCGCAACGCGCGCGTAATACCCCTGGTATTGCAGGCATTCATAGGCTACGGTAACCATTTACCTTCAGGTGTGCCATATGCTTGTTTGCCACCTCAGTGGTATAAAAAAAAACTTATTGCATTCCATAATGTGGTTGGTGGATAACATTTCAATTTTAATTATGGACACAGCAAATACGAGAGAGTAGGACAACCTTTTTTTTTTTCACTTTAGAAATAGTTTCTGAATCTGTTATAATGTTATCCAGTCATTGAATTTTTTTATTTTTATATATTACCAAATAACCATCAGGAATAATCTTTTATTAGCGCAGTTTCATTACATTACAGAAATCCAACACCGGACTCGTCACTTGGCATCACATGGAAGCCGTACGACAGCAGTCAGGATAACTACTTGAATATAGACGAGAAACTAACGCCCGGTACCCAGTTGGACGCAGAAATGTTTAATTTCTGGAAAGGAATTTATGAATACGCAGGAATAGAGTTCTAATTGCGTCATTTCACCGCCATATCTTTTAAAAGTGAAGAGGCATCCATAAAACACGTACTAATGTTAAAAAAAAATATTCAGACTCTCTTCTGACTGAGATTTGGTGAAAATATACCCATTTTCATATTCTTTTTATATTATTATCAGCACCGTACAACTGCCATAAACTAAAATTTCATCCCAACCGTCTGGACGAGTGGCGGTCCTCCACCGTGCGTTTTTCAAGGCACTTTCTTCCACGCACAACCACTCTTTGGAATCAACATCCAGCAGCAAAATTTCCGAACTGATACGACAACATGACCTTCAAGAAAAGAGCATATTCCTTTTTAAAAGCAGCGCACCTGCAATGCCGTTAGTGTGATCATGGGCGGCGGTAGTCACTTACCACCAGGTGAGCCGCATGCTCGTTTGCCCCCCGTGTTGTAAATAAAAAAAAAATATTAAATTGACATATTGATATAATTTGCTTGATTTACTGTAATAAAATAAGATGACAATAAACGTGGACGTTAATTTTATTTATATCCTTCCACACAAATTAAAAATACATGAAATACGTCGTTTCCCATCATCTGTATGCTTAGGTCTTTTAAACAACGCAACAGATTTTAATGCGATTTTCATCAACAAATAGAGTAACTCAAGAGTCCTTTTTTTATACAACTTAGAATAGAATGGAACAGAGGTACTCAAGCAATCGACTTTTGTACAAAGTCTCCCTCTGTAAAGTACCTCTGTCCCATTCATGTTTCAACCGTGAAGCAGTTGTGTTTGCATGGCTGTGTTTCGGTTTGAAGGATGGGATATCGCGTGAATTTACAAGGTACAGAGGAATAACATCTGAGTCCTCAGGAATGGCAATGCATGGGGGATATCATAGGCGAAACAGTATACTCTGTTATGTCCATGCTACTGCTCATGTCTATAGGTGACGGTTACCACTTTCCATCAGGTGGACCGTCAGCTTGTTTGCCATTTTTTTTTTATTTATTTATTCATTAGTACAAATATGTGTATATGGCGGACTTAATGCTAAAAGCATTCTCTCCCAGTCAACCATAGGGAAGTGTCAGAATACTCGAATGCGGTACTACTAATTATTGATATACATACATACTAAAATTACATATATAAACGAATATATGAATAACAAATATACTTACACATATATGATATATACTATATTATACACGAAATTGAGAATAACATAAAGCACTTATTTTCTAAGTTGTATAAAAAAAAAACTCCAGAACGACAGGTCGGATTTGAAAAATTATTTTTGCATTTGATAGTTAATTTCTCGTGGAAGGTTATAGGTTATGTAAAATCACGGTAAGAATACGGACAAAGCGGCAGGACACGACTAGTTTAGTAAACATAAAAGACGAAGAAGAATATAAGTTACTTTTTATTTCGGTCAATCAACATACCCCCAGTTACGTAAACTAAAATCAAGTCATAGGTAAAATAGGGACTTATTGTAAATCTGTGGCCCCTTTCTACGATAAAAAGGTCCCCCTTTTTGAAGTTGGTTAATAATTAATAACAAGACCCTCAGGAAGCATTGTGTACTAAATTAAATTTATAAAACAAGGCGTACGACTCAATTATGTATGTACTTACCCGTAAGTAATTATGCTATCACATATAAAACACCAAGTTTAGTATTTCAAGTTTTAATAGCTTTTTAATGTAAAGCAAGCAATTTAACATCAAAAATAAATCATCATCATTGTTGAAGATTACAACCTTATTTATTTGAATAGCCAGAGGGAGACTTTGTACAAAAGTCGATTGCTTGGGTACCTCTGTCCAATTCGTATTTCTACCGTGAAGCAGTTGTGTTTGCATGGCTGTGTTTCAGTTTGAAGTTCGGCTTTTCCATATAAATATATATGACATATTTGTTACTTTAATTATTGTTTATTCTTTAATACCCATCTTGTATACCCTTTAACTATCTTTGTGTTTGTGTAAATAATTATGTAAAAAATACACTAGATTTCAGTATAGAAGAGAAATTTTAAATATGTTTCAGTAAATTTCAGTTTCGGTTTCAGCCGAAACTGAAACCAAGGCCGAAGGTTCTGTTTTGGCTGTAATATCTGTTTCGGTCGGACACTAGTTATTTATTCGGACGCCGTTATTTTATTTTTTATCGTTTTTGGATATATGTATATATACATCCAAATTTGTCGCTGCACAAATATACTTGTCCAATAAAAAACAGCCCATTTGTCGTATGTCGTTTTTTTTTTGGAAAAAAATCTATTTGTTTACATATTTTTATTTTAAATATAAATAAAAAAAATAACTTTAAATTCTTTGTTTTCAATTTGTCTTCCTGCTTACAACCTTGGACGTGAATATGTTAATTTATGTACATGACATATAAAAAATATACCTAACATAATTAGCAACAAAGTAATATGTTAAAAAACCCTTAACCTTCTAATTAAACTAGTTATGGATATACAAGTGGAACTGTTAGAAGTCAACATGTAGACTAACCCCGGGTTCCGTATACTATTTATCTTTATAACTTGTTACGTTTTATCGTTGTAAAAAATCTCAAAGTAAAGTTACATATATATATATATATATATATATATATATATATATATATATATATATATATATATATATATATATATATATACATACATACATACATATATATATAAGTATTTTCAAAGGTCAGTTTTTTAAGCAATTTTCAAAACGGTTCTACAAAACAAGTCACCTTTTAATGTCCTTGTTACGATATTTCGATTTATTTTTTGTTCCATTAATTTATAGTATTACATCATTGTTAGTTCTGTAATGGTCGTAATGGTCTATCATGTTTAGAAACTAGTTGTTTCTATATATATATATATATATATATATAACGATGTTTATCATCGACAACCTGACGAAATCTCTATGAGAGCTAAAGGAAAATCCTCGTTTCTCACAACCACGAAAATTTCATATATTTTTTTTTTATATTATTTCATATTCATGGTGCTGTACATGTATTTAGGCAGTGACTACCATTTTCCATTTACCAATCCAAATTGTATAAAAAATTAATGATAATACCTATTAAAAATGGGTGGAAGGGATTGTTAGTAATGCGGAGTACTAGTTACATTGATAACAATATACCTTATCAGGAGAGCACGTGGAGGTTTCCACGTGCTCTCCCTGGAAACCATCTTGTTCAATTCCTAACTGAGATGCCTTTTGGGGGGGGGAGAAGAGATTTTTATTAATAAGGATTAGTAGAACCGTGAAGCAGTTGTGTTTGCATGGCTGTGTTTCGGTTTGAAGGGTGGGATATGGCGTGAATTTACAAGGTACAGAGGAATAACACCTGAGTCCTCAGGAATGGCAAAGCATGGGGGATTTCATGGGCGAAACAGTGTACTCTATGTTCATGGTACTGCTCATGTCTATAGGCGACGGTTACCACTTTCCATCAGGTGGGCCATCAGCTTGTTTGCCATTCTAAGTTGTATAAAAAAAATCTAGCAATATACCCTGTTAAGTCGACCTCCTCGTGATTCCCCCTGGAAACCATCGTGATTGATTTATTGTTAGATCCGTCACGGTGGGCCAACCAACCTGCTTCATCCTCACCTATCATTCTTCACTAGTGCCTCGCAAGTGTATACCGATAGCACAGGCAGGGTTACCATTCCATTATCACCCATTAAAAAAAAGACCTGTCTTTTAATTCTTACCTATCATTCCTCACTGGTGCCCCGCCAGCGTCTACCGTTAGCGCAGGCGGGGTCACCATTGCATTATCATCATTTAAAAAAAAAACCTCTTAAAAAATTAAATACAAATTTATTAACTTAGTATAATTTGTGGATATAAAATAAAGTGAAACAATAAAACGGACAATATTTCTGCCTCTCTGTACAAGTGAACCCTAGAAACGTAATGCAATTATTAAGGTTACGTAAGTGCCTCTGCCAATACTATACTTGTATTCGAAACTCATTATGTACCCAGCTATTGTTGTGACAACACGTATAAATATAGTCTTATATTTATAAATATATCTTATATTAAATATTATAAATATATTAAATATATCTTATATTTATTATTATATAATTCTAAATGTGTTATTTAAAATGTTAACATCCATTTTATCTAATCATTGTTTAAATACACGCATATACGTATAGATAAGCGTATATTTTGTAATAAAATCTGTCTAAATCGAGATCTAAAAAAACTGTTATAAAATTGTCATAATCCAATAATTTGTAATTGTAATTGAAAATAATAAACCGTATCGGAGAGATATCGTCGCGTCTACATGATAACGTATTATTGTATATAAAACTAAGTTCTGTGTATCAATTTCATTATTAATTGGACATAGTTGTGAGTGTAAATTATTGATACAATGGCTAAGGTAAAAGTGCAGCAAGGCTGGCTGGAGGGAGAAGTCCTGGAAGCTTCTACTGGTGAAGGCAAATATTACAGCTTCAAAGGCATCCCGTACGCGGCGCCGCCAATTGGCAAATTGAGATTCAAGGTTTGATATTGTTGATATATGTAAATATATAATTTTTTTTTAATGGATGATAATGGAATGGTAACTCCACCCGCGCTATCGGTATACACCGGCGGGGCGCCAGTGAAGGATGAAGGTCAGGATGAAATAGGTCAGTTAGCCCATCGTGACGAATTCAACGAGAATTATTCACGATGGTTTCCAGGGGGAACCACGTGGAGGTCGACCTAACAAGACATTGCTAGCAATGGGGCTGTCAAACTCCATTGTTAACAATCCTTTTCCCCCCAATATATAATTATTGTATAGCCGTATCCCGTGGGTTTGTCCGCGTGAGTCAGCAAATATATATAGTATACTACGTACTATTTTTTTATGGGTTAAAATGGCATGGTAACCGGGCTGCGCTAACGGGATACGCTGGCGGAGCACCAGTGAAGGGTGATAGATGAGAATGAAAACAGGTCAGTTAGCCCCTCATGATGAATTCATCAGGAATTAACCATAATAGTTTCCAGGGAGAACGTACTACGTACTGAGTTAGGATACAACCTACTCATGTACAAAATTTTATTCAAATCCGTTCAGTAATTTTTGCGTGAAAGAGTAACAAACATCCACCGTTAGAAACTTTCGCATTTATTATATCAATACGCACTAGCTTTTACCCGCAACTTCGTCTGCGTGACTGCAATATTTTGATTGACCGAGACACATTGTAGCCTATTTTTTTAAACATAAAATTGTATATATATATATATTTAGCCATTAAAGTGTCAATATGTAATAGCAAACTTACAGTATATAAAATAGACTAAATGCTTAGTTATAATATATGCATATCCGTGCCTAAGTTTTATTTGCATCTACATAGCCTTACCAGAGGGAGACTTTGTACAAAAGTCATTTACTTGGGTACCTCTGTCCCATTCGTGTTTCTACCGTGAAGCAGTTGTGTTTGCATGGCTGTGTTTCAGTTTGAAGGGTGGGATATGACTTTTGTACAAAGTCTCCCTCAAAAATTATTGTATTGCAAACAAGTAATGTTTGCTCTACAAAAAAAAACTCCATTCGTACCTAAACACGAAAACATTGACATAACAGCGATAAAGGCCGAGATAACCTTACATTATAAACATTTTAATAGAGAACGCGGAGTCACGTATTCATTATTAACTTTTTTTTAATTTTTTTATACCACTGTGGTGGCAAACAAGCATACGGCCCACCTGATGGTAAGTGGTTACCGTAGCCTATGAACACCTGCAACACCAGAGGTATCACGCGTGCGTTGCCGACCCTGAAGAAACCTCTTTACTCCCCTTTTGAAGAACCCCATGCTGTAGTCTCTTGGGAAAACATCGGCAGGGAGCTCATTCCACAACCTGAGTGTTCGTAGGTTATTAAAAAACTGTTATTAAAAAAAAAAGCACTTATTGAACAAAGTCAATTACACACTAAACGATTACTTGAATGACAAATGTGCATGGTGTTAGTCGATCATGCACAAACTTTTAAAGATCATGTAATTTTAGACATAGTACATTAAAATAAATACACATAATGTTAACAGAGATTTAAAAGAGCGACTGTTGAGTTTCTTGCGGGCTTTTCTCGACAGATACTTTCCGATCCCTACATTCATAAGAAATGATTAATTCGAATTTACAATTACATTTTTTCATCCCAAGCAGTTTTTGCCCAAAAAAATTTACAGCCGCTTTAATTCTCACAAATTTACTTAATTAATATACAAAAACCATACAAGATTGAACCTTAACAAATGTAAAATTGCTGACTGTATCATATCAATCGTTAACTGTCCACTGCTGGACATAGGCTTCCCCTATAATGGTGGTTTTGCCAGTAGTTGCCACACTTAACAGGCGAGTTGGCGACCGCAGTTTGGTTTGGTAACGTTTAAAGAGGGACGCTGCTGCCTATCTCTCGACCATTAAGTTTCCTTAGTCGCCTCTTACGACACCCACGGAATAGGGAGAAGTGCTCTATTCCATGCCATGACCACACGGCAACTATTATCTGTATATGAACTAGTATAACAATTATGCCTATAAATAACTTTTAATTATACTTCACAGGCACCGCAACCTCCACTACCATGGGAAGGTGTAAGACAAGCTAAAGAATTCGGCCCTGAATGTTGGCAACAAGATATATTCACGAACGAATTGGTCCCTGGCAGTGAAGATTGTCTATACCTCAACATTTACACCCCTGATCTAAAGCCCTCTAAACCACTAGCAGTCATGTTGTTTATTCACGGAGGTGGCTTTAAAAGTGGATCGGGAAACGACAAGCATTACGGCCCTGATTTTCTCGTTAATCATAATGTCGTACTAGTAACTATAAACTACAGACTTGAAGTCTTGGGATTCTTGTGCTTGGACACTGAAGATGTACCTGGAAATGCTGCTTTGAAAGACCAAGCGTTCGCTATGAGATGGGTGAAAGAAAATATTTCACAGTTTGGAGGTGACCCTAATAATGTAACCATCTTCGGCGAAAGTGCCGGTGGAGCGTCTACTGCTCTACACATTGTATCACCATTGTCCCGTGGTCTATTTCAAAGAGCAATTCCGATGAGCGGTGTACCGTGTTGCGATTGGGCTCTCCCTTTTGAACCCAGGAGACGAGCTTTCTTACTTGGTAAACAGTTGGGCCTAGAAACAGATGATCCTAATAAACTTCTAGAATTTCTCCAAAGTGTTCCAGTTGAGAAACTCGTTAATACGAATCCTGCAATAATTAGTTTAGAATTAACAACAAACAATATAATTAAAATGTATCACTTCACGCCCGTGATCGAAAAAAATTTTGGTCAAGAGCATTTCTTAATAGAGACCCCAGAAGAGATTCTTAAGAAAGGAAAACAGAACAAAGTGGACGTTTTGATTGGTTACACGAGTAAGGAAATTTTAATAGGCCTTCCAGCTTTAGAGAACTTTTTGATAAAGGATTACAATAGATGGGAAGAATTGTTAATCCCTAGAGAAATCTTGTTGCAAGTTGCGCCCAAGAAGGTATTTGAAATATCGAAACTAATTCGTACTCATTACTTTGGTGGGAAGCCGATTGATCTAAATGTTATAAAGGAGCTGGTAAATTATTTATCAGACTGCACATTTACTTACGACGTTTATAGATATACTAACAGTTTGGTAAATCACGGAAAGTTAAAAGTATTCCTGTATAAATTCTCTTGCGTGTCAGAAAGGAATATTTATGGGAATCAAGGCGCTAAGTATGGTATATCAGGGGCATCCCATTTGGACGATCTCATGTACCTGTTCGACGCGAAACACGCAAACCTAAAGATTGATAGAGGCAGCAGATCCTATAAAATGGTGAAGCAAACTTGCACACTATTCAGTAATTTCGCAAAATACGGGTAAGTTTAAAAACCGTTATTTTGCCTCATAACTTAGTTTAAGTATTCATCATCAACATATCAGTCTTTAACTGTTCACTGTTAAATATGAACCTCCCCATTGAGGGGTTTGCCAATAGACGCCACGCTTGGCAGGCGGATTAGTAACCGCATTTAGGCTTTAGAGATGTTTTAATAGAGACGCTGCTGCCCATTCCTCAACCTCCATTAGTCCCCTCTTACGACACCCACGGGAAAGGAATGAGTAGCCTATTCTATGCCAGAACCACACTTATGTTCACTGGTATAATTATGTTCACTGACCGAGATAAAAAATGGCCTATATCCTTTTCCATTCCATATAGTATATATTTGTCAAATTTTATAGTGATTGGTTAAGCCGTTAAGGTGCTACAAAGTAACAAACAAACAATCTCACTATCACACTTATAACACTTATCACAGACATAGATCATTTATTCATAATTTGAACCACAAGACCAGTGTCAGTAAATTTATTCTTTATTGCACAATAAAACTTTGTACAAATGGCTAGCCTTTATGTAATTATGTCATTTCCATTACAAATTTGTCGTATTGTATTCTAATTTCGAGAACATTACGTTTTATATATAATAATAATAATAAAAATATTTCAAATACTGATTTAGAACAATAATAATCACGTCACTTCAATTTATTAATGCATTAATAAAATTCAGCATTAAAGATTTATTTATATTTTATTAGTTCTTCAACACTATAGAAGCCTTTCTCGATAAGCCAGTCTATCAGTTTCTATTTAAATGAATTTAGACTGCTTGTAACAGTTACACAGTTAGGAAATTTATTATATATATTTATTTATATATATATATATATATATATATATATATATATATATATATATATATATATACACACATATATATATATATATATATAAATTCATGTGTTAGATATACATGGATAAAATTCCTAATAACTACTAATATGTTCCCTTTACAATGAGCTTAATCCAAAAATAAAGGATTTCGATATTTTCAAGTATAAACTATTACATCACATTAGGAGCTATCACCAGAGGGAGATTTTGTACAAAAGTCGTTAGCTCGGGCACCTCTGTCCCATTCGTGTTTCTACCGTGAAGCATTTGTGTTTGCATGGCTGTGTTTTGGTTTGAAGAGTGGTGGTTAGATATGGCAGTGGATTTACAGGGTACAGAGGAATAACACCTGAGTCCTCCGGAATGGCAATGCATGGGAGTATCATGGACGAAACAATGTACTCTGTTATGTCCATGGTACTGCTCATGTCTATAGGCAACGGTTACCACTTTCCATCAGGTGGACCGTTAGCTTGTTTGGCATTCTAACTTGCATAAAAAATCTACATATCTTCTTTCTCTTTCTTACAGTAATATTCTTGTTACGAGTACAAATAATTTAAGTAATTCCATATTTTATAACATGATTATTATACAGCCAATGCTGTGTACAGGGGGGAAAGGGATTGTTAATGATGGAGACTGAGAATCCCATTGCTAGCAATATACCCAACCAGGTCGACCTCCTCGCGGTTCCTCCTGGAAACTATCATGGTTAATTCCTAATGAATTCATCATGATGGGCCAACTGGCCTGTTTTCATTCTCATCTATCACCCTTCACTGATGCTCCGCCAGCGTATCCCGTTAGCGCAGGCGAGGTTAACATACCATTTTCACCCATCAAAAAAAAATGCTGTGTACATCGCTTACTGGTATCCATATATTACCATGTCTATATTAAATGTTGTATTGTAACAAACTTTATATAACACTGTTGATATACCAATAAATACATAAATAAATAACTCGTAATCTAATCCTAAAAATAATGTCTTAACTAAATGATAGAAGATTAATCTGAAGCTAGAATCATTTAAGATTGAACGAGTACATAAGGACGTTTATTTACTATCTTAAATATTTACTATTTACACAGAGAATTAAATAAACAAGGAAATAAATATCGTTAATTATTTATATATTATTAAATTACCTTATTTAATTCAATAATGAGCAACGTCGGACATATTATTTTAATTTGTTTACATTTTATTAATAACTAGCGACCCGTCCCGGCTTCGCACGGGTGCAATACCGCACCGCTATGTCCCTGCATTTTAAATCTGTAATATCTTCGGAAATATTTAATTAAATTAAATGCTGTAAAGCGCTATATTAATCTATATTAAATGGACAATGTATTTAAGGTACGTAATTGGATAAAAATTAATGCTGTATTGCTTAAAATCACTTCATAAATAAGCCATTTTTTCCCGTAAAATGTAAAGGAAAAAAAAATAGTTATTGTGGATTATCCTTAAGAGATAGACATATATAATCACGGAATTTTTTGTTGACCTTTTTAAGGTGTATAATTCTATAGTACATTATTTTGATTTATCTGGTGAGGTTCAGTCGTCGTTTTCAATGTAAGCGCAAAAATGTGTTTATTTACGACATCACATTAGAAACCTCTAAATTTATCAGTGTTTCTCTACAATGTTATGCATGTATTATACATATAAACCTTCCTCTTGAATCACTCTATCAATTTAAAAAAAACGCTTCAAAATCCGTTGTGTAATTTTAAAGATTTAAGCATACATAGGGACGGACAGACAGCGACCGCGACTTTGTTTTATACTATGTACTGATTCGTTAGGTTTATTGTACTAATAAATAAAATGAAATCAAATCTCCCCCTCACGGTTATTGTCTTCTGTCTCGCTCGCTCACTCTTTTTATGTGGTGATTAATTAAAATATACTTTTTTGTTACCTCTTGATACCATCCACGCCATAAGGTAATAAACAAAAACTCACTTTTAAAATTAGTAAGGACTATTTGGCGATCTTGACGCTATGGCGATTTAACATACTGCCTTATATTTTATTGGTAGTGGATTCGATTCCTGTATTATACAATCATTTTTATACATGTATATTAACATTATAAATCTATTATGTAAGTAGGTTTACCCAAATCATGCCTAGACTTGCTTGTTCAAGAATACTGCATTTTATTATAGATTTTATCTGATATGAAATTTGTAACATTCGTTGTAACCATTTGTAACATTTTGTTTTTGTAATCTCTAATTTTTTTTTAAATATTTTACTAAAATAGGTGATATGTTGGAGTAGTCCATATTACTGATTATTTTTTTTATACAACTTAGAATTTCAAACAAGCTGACGGCCCACCTGATGGAAAGTGGTAACCGTCGCCTATAGACATGAGCAGTACCATGGACATATCAGAGTATACTGTTTCGCCCATGATACCCCCCATGCGTTGCCATTCCTGAGGAATCGGGTGTTATTCCTCTGTACCCAGTAAATTCACGCCATATCCCACCCTTCAAACCGAAACACAGCTTTGATTAGAATTATTTTGTTTAATACCGCTACCATTAATATGTGTGTGACTACCAACAAACAAAAGTTAATCAACATCATTACTATCAGAAATTCTAACATCTATTGCACTTTTGTTTAAAAAAAGTATTCTGTTTAATTTCTTGGCTGACTTTTCATTTGTAATTCATAAAAAAATGACTATTCATAAATACTTATAATTAATTTTACTTGAACAAAAATAATTTTGATCTATTAATCTCCAGATAAATAATATAATATTAAAAAAAGAAAAATATTTATTTGGCGCATATCAACAACAATTACAATTAAAACATAAACAATTATAAACTTAAAGGTAAAGAAAATACAGAAATATACTTATACCTGTCTATAGGCGACAGTTACCACTTTCCATCAAGTGGGCCGTCAGCTTGTTTGCCATTCTAAGTTGTATAAAAAAACCTAATTAATAATTTTGCAACCAAAATGGTCACCACTCAGCTATATCTTTAATACCAAACGCCTAAACGCTGATTTTCCGTGGAGCCAATAGGAGTGGTAGACGCTACCGAATAGACATATTAACTATTTGAGTACATATATAACTTTTATTATTATAATAATAATATTATTATTGTATTATTAAATATTATTAAACAATAAAATTTTTCAGTAATCCTACGCCGGACAACTCTCTTGGAGTGACTTGGAAGCCGTACGACGCAAAAACCAGAAGCTATATGGACATCGACGAGAAATTGACCCCAGGAAATAACATGGACGCAGACGTGATCGCATTCTGGAAGAATGTTTTCGACTTCGCAGGAGTAGAGTTTTAGGGATTTCATATACAAGGCTAATTGATGCGACAAGCACTATTTACCTACCACCACCAACTGGATCCATTTTTTCATATCCGGATAAATGTTATCCTCTTAACTTGCAGTAAACAACACAAATTTTTTCATTAACTAATATTATGATATGGAACTTTTATATATTTAAATTTAACAGACATTTTTTTTTTACAACACAGGAGGCAAACGAGCATGCGGCTCACCTGATGGTAAGTGACTACCGCCGCCCATGGTCACCAACAACACCTACGGCATTGCAGGTGTGCTGCCGGCCTTTTAAAAAGGAATATGCTCTTTTCTTGAAGGTTATGTTGTCGTATCGGTTCGGAAATACTGCTTCTGGAAGTTGATTCCAAAGAGTGGTTGTGCGTGGGAGAAAGTGCCTGACATATATATGTACATTACTTTTACGTCTAAAATCATTTACCTATACCCAGATATCTACCCTAAGCAATCTAGTTTTTAAACACAAATTGTTTATCTATTTCTTAGAAAAAGTAGTTCCCCTTTACACTATTTGGGCGGCGGTAGTCACTTACCATCAGGTGAGCCGCATGCTCGTTTGCCCCCTGTGTTGTAAAAAAGAAAAACTAAATTTTGCTGGTTTGGTTGGTTACTCTGTTTGGGTCATAGATTGTTATTTGCTCTTCTATTGCAGTTGTCTTATTTAATTGTTTTATATAGTAATATTTTATGTATTTAGTATGTATTTATTATAAATACATACTAAATACATAAATTATGTATATTATGTATAAATTTATTTATTTAATCTATTAGATGTATATTCATATCAATGTATTTATATACGTGATATTACTGCGTGAATTTACTGGGTACAGAGGAATAACACCTGAGTCCTCAGGAATGGTAACGCATGGGGGGTATCATGGACGAAACAGTATAATCTGTTATGTCCATGGCTGTAGCTCATGTCTATAGGCGACGGTTACCACTTTCCATCAGGTGGACCGTCAGCTTGTTCGCCATTCTAAGTTGTATATATAAAAAAAATGTTTAAATTATATGAATATATCAAGTGTCGCTTTATTTTTCCTAATGCACCGCCTACTTATTTCTCTGTTCGCCCAATGGCCGACTAGTAGAGAACACTGTCCGGTGTTAAGTATGCCAAATGTACATAGAATTTTACTGTGCATTAAAGTTTAAACAAATAAATAAATAAGGCATATAAAAAAAAAAAAACAATATTTTTTTAACAACGCCAATTCTCGTTGTTGCAAGTAATGAACATAATTTTAGTATCTCTACATCCATCCTTTTCAAATAAGAGATGCTGGAAAAGGATGGAGAATTAACTGGAAAGATCGAATTAGTAATGAGAAAGTCCAACTTAGGATTAAGGAAAAGAGACAAATTATAAGAACTATTGAGGTCAGTGTGGGAAAAAATATTATGACACTTGATACGACACGACGAACTTATGAACATTATAATAGAAGGTAACATAGAAGGAAGGATGGGAAAGGGGAGACCAAGATATAGTTACATCAGGTAAGTCAAGGAAAAAGTTGGTGCCATGTCGTGTTAAGTGGTGAAGAGACTCGCTGGAAATCGTAGTGAGTGTCAAAGAGCTTCACTGACAAGAGCGCAGCTCTTAAATAGGAATACTGACACTTAAGTACATACTGACGAATTTTACAAGTCGTATACGTATTGTTTGTGATACAGGACAAAAATTTGAACAGGTTTTAACTAAATATACATATTTATTTATTCTGTTACGATTGACGTCATCGTTTCTTGCGGAACAAAATCTAAAGTAAGCTCCATATTTCAAATACAAACTGAAGGCCTACCACGAAATGTTTTCCGAAATTTCAGAGCCGAACGAAACACAAATTTGACGTTAAAATTACATAATAAAAATATTAAAATATTATTCCTTTGGACTTTTATGGTAGGATTTATGACGAACGAAATGTTGAACTCCATTTACTGAGCCGATTTAGGTATGAACAAAAACACGAAATTGAGTCCGAAACTTCGGAATTTCATTTCATGGTAGGCCCCCAGTTCTTTATAAAAGCAAATGTCGTTTCGTCGTATCATCTGTTTACCGTCCACTGCTGAACTTAGACCTCTCCCATAAAAGGGGTTTTGCCAATAGTAGCCACGCTTAGAAGGTGGATTGGCAACCGCAGTTAGTTTGGTGATATTTTAAGAAAGATACTGCTGCCCATCCCTTGTCCATTAAGTACCCTTAGTCGACTCTTGCAAAACCTACGAGAAAGAAATATGTCGCAAATTTCTATACCGGCATGTGGTTTATCTCAATCAATTTTTTTTATTGCATAGAAGATAAATGAACAAACAGTTTACCATAGTATTATATTATCTGTGGCTTACCTAATGATAAGCAAACACCCGCAATATCAAAGAAATTACTCGTATGTAGGCAGTCTTTCAGCAAATTATACCAAATATTCATATTAGATTTTTTTTATACCAATGAGGTGGCAAACAATCATACGGCTCACCTGATGATAATCGTTTACCGCAGCCTATGAACGCATGCTGACCCCGAAGAAACTTCTTTAAACCCTTTTTTGAACGGCCCCATGTAGTAATCTCTTGGAAAAACATCGACAGGGAGTTTTATCCATAACCTGAGCGTTCGTTGGAGGAAACAGTGCGATGTGTTAATCAAATTCATAAAGACAATATAGCGAGATCTACTTAAATAGAATTGTTCAATTAATAAATGGTATACAAACTCCTTGTTGGCTCTTTACACAAAAAAGAAAAATAATGTTTTATCTGACATTTTTAATTGTGACGTTTTTGTACAAATTATAATAAACACATTCTAGATCACCGACGACTAGATCACAATCGACTTTTGTACAAAGTCTACCAGAGGGAGACTTTGTACAAAAGTCGATTGCTTGGGTACCTCTGTCCCATTCGTGTTTCAACCGTGAAGCAGAGGACCTACCATGAAGTATTTTCCGAAATTTCGGGGACGAACGAAACAGAAATTTGATGTTAAAATTACATAATACATGCTGTTTAAAATTATTAAAAATGTTAAAATATCGTTCCTCTGGACTATTAGGATAGTATTTACGATGAATGAAATGTTAAGCTCCATTTACTGGGTCGATTTTGATACGAACAAAAACACGAATTTAAGCCCGAAATTTCGGAATTTCATTTCATGGTAGACCATCTGTTGTGTTTGCATGGCTGTGTTTCGGTTTGAAGGGTGGGATATGGCGTGAATTTTCTAGGTACAGAGGAATAACACCTGAGTTCTCAGGAATGGCAACGCATGGGGGTTATCATGAGCGAAACAGTATACTCTGTTATGTCCATGGTGCTGCTCATGTCTATAGGCGACGGTTACCACTTTCCATCAGGTGGACCGTCAGCTTGTTTGCCATTCTAAGTTGTATAAAAAAAAAATCAAGATTCCACTTTATTTTTGTTCAAGAATATTATAGTAATTCAAATGAGAAATATTGATATAGGACATTTTGGATACATCAAGCTCCCGCTGTTCGTAGATAAAATGTTATCATTCCAAACATTGTGTTGTGCCTCCACAGCCCTCCAAAATTGTCCCCTAAATTTAAAAAGAGTACAACAATTTAGACTTAATTATGAGTGTAGAAAGGCTGTTTATTGTGTAAATCATATATTATTATACTAATATACCTACATTTAATGTAACTTTGACATTATCTTATTTATATAATAAAATTGTAACTAAACAATGTCCGTAGAAATTTATTTATTTATTCAATAGTACATATATATGTACATGGCGGACTTAATGCTAAAAGCATTCTCTCCCAGTCAACTATAGGGAAGTGTCAGAATACTCGAATACGCTACTAGTAATTATTGATATATATACATACTAAAATTGCATATAAAAACGAATAAATATATAAGAATAACAAATATACTTACACATATATGACATATACTATATTATACACGAAATTGAAAATAATATAAAGTACTTATTGCTCGAATAAAGTAAAAAAGTGAGCATGAACTTTTTTTTTTTAATTTATATTAGGGATCTTAATACAGATAATAGAAGTCAAAACAACATTCTCTTAAATTTTTGTCTGTTTGTCTGTCTACGTGTTTGCTTCTTTACCGCGCAAAAACTACTGCGCCAAATTGGATACGATTTTCTCAAACTGAATGTCTTGGATCGTGATAGCGTCATTTGGAAGTGATCTGTGTATTTCATTATCTGTTTGCCTTGCTTAGATAAAAAAAAAATTATCTATTCCTGCATCTGGTACTGTAAACCCCTATCACTAACAATTTTTTTTTATACAACTTAGAATGGCAAACAAGCTGACGGCCCACCTGATGGGAAGTGGTAACCGTCGCCTATACACATGAGCAGTACCATGGACATAACAGAGTATACTGTTTCGCCCATGATACCCCCCATGCGTTGCCATTCCTGAGAACTCAGGTGTTATTCCTCTGTACCCAGTAAATTCACGCCATATCCCACCCTTCAAACCGAAACACAGTCATGCAAACACAACTACTTCATGGTTGAAACACGAATGCGACAGAGGTACCCGAGCAATCGACTTTTGTACAAAGTCTCCCTCTGGTATTTCTTCCCTGTAATCCCGTAACGGTTTGTTCAATTTCTTTTATACCTACGTCACTTTATAAACATTAAAACTTAAATGTCCAGCCACTACACGAACCGGTTGGAAAGCACGGTCGTAAAGCGGATGATAATACCACCTCGTACACCGTGCAGGGGTGTTAACGGGCGAAATTAGTTTAAGAGAGTACATATAAACTGCTAAACGCATAGCATTTACACGAGTAAACATAATTTACTCAATATAATCTATTATATATTATAATATATAAACTTTTTTTCTCGTACTCAGAAAAAATATGATTTAAAAATGCTTGTAAACAAGTCTCAAATAGACTTATTAAAGATGATTTGAATTTACAGTATGGAATAAGCTTCCGTCTAAGACTTTTACACTGCATTTTAATATGGGTTTCTTCAAAAACCCTACCTACTACTAAGGTGTTTACTTTTTAAAAGACCGGAACAGTACTAATAACACCTTTATAGATAGATAAATACTCTTTATTGTTTCCTCCAAAAGATTACAATAGTAAATTTATTATAAATACAAACAATTACAAGAAATAATCACAATGAGAAAACAATGGGCGACCTTATCGCTAAAAGCGATCTCTTCCAGGCAACCTTTGGATAATATCAATAAGGGTGAAGACATGAATACATAGGTACAGATGTAAATGCGAACACCACTAGCACACTCATATATTAAGTCAAGTGTTACGCTCGCCTAAAAACGCTGCATGGAAAGAGGTAATAACTCCAGGCTGCATAATCATAAAGCCAGCTGGAGGCCTGGAGGCGGCACATAATCCACTGGGCGACATCGTAAAACACCTGATATTGCTGCACTACACACGGCTCTCTGCGCTGACGAGCAATAACTAGGTAAATCATAAATTGTTCTGAACATATCACACAGACCCGAATATATAGGTGAGAAAGGGATTGTTAGTAATGGAGACTGAGAATCCCATTGCTAGCAATATACCCAACCAGGTCGATCTCCTCGCGGTTCCCCCTGGAAACTATCATGGTTAATTCCTGATGAATTCATCATGATGGGCTAACTGGCCTGTTTTCATTCTCATCTATCACCGTTCACAGGTGCAGGTGGGCAGCAGCGTCCCTCTTAAAATATCTCTAAAGCCTATATGTATATATATATATATATATATATAAAAAGAGATAGAGAAAAAGAGAAGCTGGATTCTTGCTCCATACCATCCATACACATGTTTGAAGAAAGAAGACCACGCCACAATTAACTGTGATTTATAATAACGTAAACACATCTAAAAAAAGTGAACGAGAAGACAACATTGGTTGAAATAATAAAGAATAGAAGAGGCAAAATGCTGGTTCACCTTATACGGCATGACTTTTTTTTAAGAGCATAGTAGAAGGAAAAATAGAGGGCAAAAGAGG